TAGAATGGACGTTGACAGTGGGGAACTGTAACATGGAAGAACAAAATCTGACTCCATGTTGGATCTGTTTATTTTACCTTGACCCTTGCTTTCCACTGCTTTTGTTCTGTCTATAGCTATAGGCATACATAATGGCCTGCCTTGGGGAACCCTGCTCCTCTGCCTGAATGTTAAACTAAAGTGCCTTTGTTCAGCTCTCAGGGAAACACCCTGACCCTGTCCACCTGTGAATGGGCGCAAAAAAGAAGAAATTAACACATCCCCTCGCCGAGGCTGGCCAAAACCAGGAGAGGAGATGTTTTGCAAGGCTTATGGCCTTTTTACTTTATTTCCTCAACTCCTCTGCCTCTCTGTTCTATAAAAGAAACTAGCATCTATACCCTGAGAAGATGGTACTCTAGGACACTAGTCCGCCATCTTCTCAGATGCCTGGCTTTCCAAATAAAGTCTCTATTCCTTGCCTCAACAGCTCATCTCCTAATTTATTGGCCTGTCATGCGGTGAGCAGAGCAAGCTTGGACTTGGCAACACTACTACTATAGTCTCAACCAGTTTTTCTGACTCTGTTTAGAAATTGCTAAAATTTTGAAATAATTATAGATTCATGGGAAGTTGCAAAAAAATAGGTATGAGGAAATCCCATGTATCCTTCAGCCATTGCCTCTAATGGTAACATCTTGTATAACTGTAGTATAATATCAAAGCCAGGAAATTGACATAGGTATATGTCATGTCATAGAATTTATTCAAATCTCATCAGTTTTACATGCACTCATTTTTTTGGCATGTGTATAGTTCTGTGCAACTTTGTCACATGTGTAGATTTGAAACCGAGTGGGGCCCTGTGGGGCTCTCAGCATGGAGGCCCTTTTGTCCCTCATTTTTTGTAGGCAAGACTCCAGCCTCCATGACCTTCCCTGAGTTCCAAAGGGCGGATTTGAACAGTTGTTAATCAAGGGAGGAGCAGCCAAGAAACCACCCAAGGCAAGATTAAAGGGACCAGAGAAGCTCATCAAGATTAGGAGAGCAGCTACCTGAGATGAGATTAAAGGAGTACAGGCCCTACATACACCCTGATCTTGTCAGAGACCCCACCCTTGAACCACAGTTATAAAACCTTCATCAAATCCTCTGGGGTTGGAACACATAGTTTTTCGAGGCAGCAGCCCAGCATGTCTCCCTTTGCCTGGCAAAGCAATACCACTATCTTTTTCTGCTTCACCCAAAACTCTGTCTCTGAGATTCAATTCAGCACTATTGTACAGAGAGGCCGAGCTTTCAGTAACAGATTCATGTAACTGCCACCAATATCAAGATACAGAACGATTCCATTACCATAAGACTCCCTTGTGCTACCTTTTTAGGACATACCCATGCCCTCTCCCCAGTCACTAACTCCTGGCAACCACCAGTCTATTCTCTATCTCTATAATTTTGTTATCTCAAGAATGTTAAAAAAAAAAAAAGAGAATGTTATATAAATGCGATAATATAGTAAGTAATTTTTTTGTGATTGGCTTTTTTTTTTTTTTTTTGCAGTACGCGGGCCTCTCACTGTTGTGGCCTCTCCCGTTGCGGAGCACAGGCCCCGGACGCGCAGGCTCAGCGGCCATGGCTCACGGGCCCAGCCGCTCCGCGGCATGTGGGATCCTCCCTGACCGGGGCACGAACCCGTGTCCCCTGCATCAGCAGGCGGACTCTCAACCACTGTGCCACCAGGGAAGCCCTGTGATTGGCTTTTTTTAGTCAGCATAATTCTCTTGAGATCTGCCCAAGTTGTTGCATGTATCAGTAGTTTTGTTTTTTATTGTTGTGTAGTGTTCCACGGTATGGATGGACCATAGTTTTTCTTTTTTTTCTTAATTTTTATTGGAGTATACTTGTTTTACAATGTTGTGTTAATTTTATGTGTACAGCAAAGTGAATCATGGACATTTGGGTTGTTTCCAGTTTTGGTCTATTACAAATGCTGCTATTGTTATCCGAAAACTGGGTTTGCCTCTTGGTGGGTGCAAGCCAAAAGACACAACCAGGTCAAAGAGAGGGAGAAGGAAGACTTTATTACTTACAGCAAGTAAGGAGAACACCAGGGATCTTTCCCAAAGCAGTATCTCCCCAACAGCAAAACTGTGGAAGTTTTAAGCTAAGGGTACATGCGTATTCATGAAGGGGCTTGAGCAGAGGAGAATTTAGCATAGAATTGGGACAAAGGTTAACAGAGTCCAAGCTTTAGTTGACTGAAGTCATTAGGTTCAGTAAAGGTCAATATTATTATTACTTACGTTTTGACCAGTCTGGGATCTCAGCCTGTAGTTACCGTCCTCCAGCTGGGTGGGGGCCTTAGTTCCTGTAGAACTCAGAGATATGTTATTAGATTGTTATGTATGTCCCTCGGATATAGGAAGAACTAGGAGGAATTAAGGGGAGGAATTAGGACTCTTTTATTACTGAGCTATTGTTTCCTGATTGCTTTCCCTTTGTTCCTGCATTCTTTAGTTCCCTTAAATCATTAATTACTGAGACCTCTTTGAGGGCAAGAATTGTGGCCAGGCTTGGATCACAAAGTGGCTTAGGCCAAAAATGGCTTCTCTTAAAGTAAAAAACAAACAAACAAACAAAAAAAACCAAGGTCAGTTCTCTTTCTCTGGGGACCCCTTATCCTATCTACTTACACTATAAACATTTGTGTACAAGTTTTTGTGTGAACAGAACGTAAGTCATTTTCTCTGGGATAAACACCCAACAGTGCAATTGCTGGTCATGTGGTAAGCACATGTTTAGTTTTATAAGAAGCCAAACTTCTCCAGAGTGGCTGTACCATTTTACATTCCTGCCAGCAATGTATGAGCAGATCCAGTTTCTCCACCTCCTTGAGAGCATTTGGTGTTGTCACTGTTTTTTATTTTAGCCATCATCGGAGGTGTGTAGTGATATCTCATTGTGGTTTTAATTTGCATTTCCCTAATGGCTAATGATGCTGAATATCTTTTCATGTGCTTATTTGCCATCTGCATATCCTCTTCAGTGAAATACCTTGTCTTTTGCTTATTCTCTAATTGGATATTTTTTTAACAGTTGAGCTGCGAGAATTCTCTATATAGTCTAGATACAAGGGCTGTGTTGTGTATGTGGTTTGCCAACATTTTCTCCCACCCTGTAGCTTGTTTTTTTCATCCTCTTCTCAGGGTCTTCTGAAGAGCCAGAGGTTTTCATTTTGATAAGATCCAGTTTATCAACGTTTTCCTTGTATGAATTGTGCTTATGGTGGCAAGTCTAAAAACTCTGCCTAGCCCTTGGTCCTGAAGATTACCATGTTTTTTTCCTAAACTTTTTACAGTGCTGACTAAAAAACTCCACACAGCCTAGAAGTAGTGAGGTAAGTTTTATTTGATGACCCTACTGATGACTATAGCTTGGGAGACAGTCTCTCAGATAACTCTGAGGAACTGTTCCAAAGAGGTAAGGGAGAAGCCAGGATATATAGTTTTTGCTGAAAAAAACAAACAAGAAACATGTTAGTGGAACATCAAAAGATTACTGCTAATCAATTTAGAGAACAGACTTGTGGTTGCCAAGGGGGAGAAGGGTGGGGGAGGGAAGGATTGGGAGTTTGGGATTAGCAGATGCAAACTATTATATATAGGATGGATAAACAACAAGGTCCTATTGTATAGCACAGGGAACTATATTCAGTATCCTGTGATAAACCACAATGGAAAAGAATATGAAAAGGAATATTTATATGTATAACTGAATCACTTTGCTGTACAGCAGAAATTAACACAACATTGTAAATCAACTATACATCAATAAAATTTTTAAAACATTACTGCTAATCACACAAAAAGCTGCATTGGATAAAAAAAATACGCTCATTGAAATTATTCATTTGATACGCATCTTAACTATCTAGGGCCAGTGCCCTGTTTCTCTCCTGATTTCCCTTCAGTGTGCACCACTGGGGAGGCTACAGTGGCTGATGGCTTGATGTCAGGCAACAGTCTTTGTTTACTGAAATGGCAGGCAACATTTTCTCTCTTTCTTTTTTTTTTGTCCACATAGTTTTACACTTACAAAACTATGACTCATTTGGAGTGAATTTTCATTTAAAGTGGGAGGTTTAGGTAAAGGTTTTCTTTCTTCTTTTGCCTATAGATGTCCCATTGCTCCCGCACATTTGTTGCAAAGGCTCCTGATTCTGCTTTGTATCTTACCCCATCCATTCCTCCTACAGCAGTCAGAATGCTTTTTTTTTTAAAGTGTATCAGATGACATGACGCCCTATTCAAAATCTTCCAATCACTTCCCACCAAAACATAATCTTGCTGCTCTCCAACCGCAGTTTCTAGTGCTCAACGCCCACTATAATACTGGCCCTTGGGTAATCACCAGAGTTGCTCCCTCACTTCATGCAGGTCTATTCTACTGCCACCTCCTTTAACCTTTAAAGTAGTTTACTGCTTCAATCTTCCTTCCGCCCTTGCCCTGCTTTTTCTTAACAACATTTGCATACTATGATATATTTCATATTAATTTGCTCATTTATTTATTGTTTGTCCCCATAACCAGCTCCAACAAAGTTTACTGCTATACCCCAGACCCTGAAACAATACCTGCCACACAGAAGTTACTCGATAAAAAATCTGCTTACAGGCTGGAAAGAATGAGTAAATGTAAAACGAGGGCGACCGTCTACTTTTAGGTCAGGCGCTCGTTCAGACTCAATGAAAAGTGTGAGCGCCACCTCTCGGGAAGCCAATTTGCTCGAGAAAACAGTCACAGAATCTTAAGGAAAAAAAAAGATGGCGGTAGCCAGCCAGAAGAGCAAGAAAAAACAGTACCGGAAGTTTAACTTTGGAAATTGCTCCCTAGAATGACACCCGACTGTCAGGAGGAAGCGTAGGCGAGTGGTGTTCTGAAAAATGGGCCCTCCCGCAGCAGATCTGGGCAGAAGCGTTCCGCGCGGGCGGGTGCCGGGAACCACGAGGGGCGGGGGCGCATTTCCGGTGCCGGTGGCAGCAGAAGGAGTTGAAGCCCAAGTAGACGGATTGGTGAGAAGGGTTCGGGGTACTGAAAGGAAAGGGAGAGGAAGGGGAGGGGGAGGTGAAGAGGTCGGATGAGTTCCGCTCTGAGAGGTGGCCAGGGTGATGGGGTGGGAGGGAAGCGCCTGTCGACAGGTGCAAACCTGTCAGCTCACGTCCCACGCCACGTGGACTCACCTTTGTCCGTGGCTGCTTTTCTCATCAGGACGCGACCGTAGGGGTTGTGCCTTATTTGTTTCTGTCTAGTGCAGTGCTGGGCTCTGAATGAATGACAGGTGTGTGTCAGGTGGATGTGGAGGACACTTACAGGGACTGTTTGTAGCTCTTTAGCTCCATTTTCTCCTGGGGAATCCATGCTTGTCTCCAGCTTCCCCCGGGAGATCTCCGCCAGTTCTTGGGCTTTGTCTCTTTTTCTTGGAGGCGTAGGGTGATTATCATTTAAGACATTTTCTTTGCTCTTATTGAGTGCTAGGCCCTGTGGCTAGGTACCAGGGACAGACACAGAAGTAATCCATCCGTGTATACAGGCGGCAGGCCAGTGGAGAGACAGAAAACAGAAAATGCAAACATATTGTTAAGGTGCTGAAATAAGAGGTAAACTAAAGTACAGGAAGATAGAGCCAGAAGGTGGTGCTGTTATCCACAGAGGGATTGACTTTCAAGGTGAAGGGACTCCTTTCTCATCTTGTGGAGACACAGCAGGTCCTGAGCCCGATCTTTTTCTCTGTAAAAGGAAAAGTCTGGAATAGATACTTCTAGGCTTCCTTCCAGTATGACGTCGCATATCAGATATTACTCATGGCAATAGTTCTCCCACAGTCCACCGTTTACTGGTTAGTCAGAATATTCATTACATCTCATGATATAGCATAAGTTGCATAGGGTTGGGAAATCTGGACTTTGGTCCTCATTCGGGTGCTCTAGATCTGTTTCCTCATTTGTAAAAGAAGGGGATTGTAATGAAATAATCTGCAAAAACCTAGTTCTAATACCATGACTGTGGTGGTAGGTCAAACCATATTTTAGACTGCCCTGTACCAGACATCACTTTCACATTATCACTGTGGTGTCCCTCATCTGGATAATTGAGAGATAGTGTCTTTTTTTTTTTTTTTAAACATTCCCTGTCTTAGTTCTGCCACAGTATTGGGTACACAGTAGATGCTTACGTTAGTTCAAAAACTGGCTCCTGTACACAGAAGGAAAGGAGAGACTGAAGAAAGGCAGACCACTCCAGATTGGTAGGTAACAGGTGTAACGAGCAATGGAGCTTGAGGCCTATCTTGGGTGGTTGCAAGACGAGTAGATCTCTGCTCTCGCCCACGAGAATTTTAAAAGTTTGCATAGAGGCCTTAACTAGGTACAGTCACATGTTCAGTTCAGATGGTCTCAACAACACCTTACTCTCTCAAGGCTGTGTCCTTCGAACAGCCCCTTCTGTGGGGACAGTAGGCAGAGTGTACATTCCAAGGACAGGGGTGGGGGTGAGGAGCCGCCAGTTTCTGGGTTCAGCTGGAGGGTCAGCTGGTAGTTATGACCTCCTCCAGTACTCCGCCGCTTGTGACTGGCCCTTGCAGTCTCACCCCCTTCTTCTGCAGGGTCAGAAGTGTGCCCTGAGAGGTTAGCAAGGGGTTCTGCCAGCATGGCAGTGGCTCATTTGGCAGCTATCTGACTGCAGTGGAGGCAGTATAGAGGTATAGAGGCACCTATACCTCTATACTGTGCAGTATAGAGGCACATCCAAGAGAAAACATGGATTAAGATGAGTCCCAAAATAATTAACAGTTTTCTCTATGAAGAGCCCCATAATCTGAACCATTGATTTCCTACGTCCCCTTATGAGGCAGTAATGATGTCCAAGGCTCTTCTGTTTTGGAGGACAGCTTTTCTCATGAAAGATATTTCAGCGATTGGTAAAGACAGGCTTTGCAGGCTGTCATTTAAGGCTTGCTGGATGAAGTTAGTAAGGGCTTCTCTGTTTGCTATAATGTCCTTCAGGCCAATGGAGGGGACCAAGATGGTGGCTAAATGATTGTACCAGTAGAAAACGGAACATGCCCATCTGGCCTGGAGGAGAGGGAGGTTGGTGGCTTTAGGAACTTGACCCGGTTGTACGTACCATACATATTGGCCGGGGCAGGCAGCGGTGGACTGGGGGCAGGATATGCCAGACCAGGAACCCCACCTTCTCCCCTCTTTCAAAGATGCGTGTTTCATTCCAGCTATAGCACATTTCAACAGTCCGGCTTGCAGTAGGACAGCAGGATCCCAGTGGAGATTGAGTAAGTGTCCTCTACCCAGAGGTGTGAATTCACCCATCCCGGTGAGACATCCCACTGCAAATCCCAGTAGACAACTCCTTTCCCAGGTGTGACGGGGCTTGGTTCTCTCAGCAGCACAGCACGCTGGTCCACAGAGAGAGTTGGGGCAGTGGCTGTTTCCCAAGACTTCCTTACTTGTATGGCACTGGGTGTCTTGTCAGGGGTCCCCAGTCTGGCATTTGGGGCCGTAGGTTCTACTGGTTGATCATTCAAATGCATCAAAATCTGGGACAGTACTTTAGTCCACCCGGCCAAGGTGGTTTTAGCTGTTAGTAATTTAATCTGCTGCTTTACTATTCCATTTTTCCTTTCTGCCAGTCCTCCTGCCTCCTGTGGGTTATAGGGGAGATGGAACTTCCATTTGATGTCATATTCTTTGGCCCAGTCATGACCTTTGAAATATAACCCCCGATCACTGTCTATTCCACAAAGGTATCCATACATGGTCTTAGCTTCTCTAATCCCCTGATAGCGGCAGCCTGGTTTGTGAGGCAACAGGGGACAGCTTGGGTTGGGCCAGATGCAGTGTCCACAAACACCAGAGCGTATTTAGAACCCTCACTAGGAAGGAGGGAGCCAGTATAATCAATTGGCCAATTTCACATCAGTTGGGAGCTCTGGTGGGTGGCCCCAGACTCCTTTGGCAGTTGCCTTGGGTGTTGTTTAGAACACACAGGACGTGCTATTACTGCATTAATTGAGTCACTGTATTTCAAAGGCAGTCCAGCATCCTTGGCAATATGTCATCCCCCTGGGCACTTCAGTGTTCCCTCTTCCTATGCACCCAAGGGTCAGTTGCTAGGACTCACTTCTGGCCTAGGGCATCAGCTTCCTGATTGCCAGAGGATGTCAGTGCCTTATGAGCCAGGGTGTGGAAGACAGTGAGGAGTGCCTCAGACTCTTGCAGGTGAACCCAAATGTCTTTTTACGTATCCAGACCCCACAAGGCTTATTTATGATCACTCACCTCTTGTCTTTCCATTGTCTAAGCCATAGGGTCAATCCCTTTAGAACAGCCCAACTGTCAGTGCAAAACATTCATGGCCAGGGCTCACCAGCCCGCTGGAGGCTGCCGTTTGTTCCTCTTTCCAGGCATGTGTATATCAGGCATCAGTGGGAATTTCCTGCACTCCCTCTCCACAGGCCCACACAGGAACAGGGCCAGGACATTTGGAGGACCTACATTCTCTACAGGGCCTAGGAGCAGCCACATTTCTAGACAGCGGGCCGGTGGTAGGTACTCCTCTGCTGCAAATAGACGTGTCATTTAGTCAGCGTGGGGGTTTGAGCCATGGCAGAGGTGGGTAGATGGAACGTATTCTGAACAACCCCTTCAGAGGAAGGGAAGTTCTTACCATGATGTGCTGTTTCTTTGTGAGAGGCTGTACCCGGAGGAATGCTGTGTACACTGCTAGAAGCTGTTACTCTGTGGGGGTGTATTGGGTTTCTGCCCCCTTCCAGGGACCAAAAATCCTAGGGGTGCTCTCTTTCTGTTGTCTCTCCCACAGTGCCCAACCCAGATCTGCTGGAGTCACAGACACATCTAACTCAAATGGTAGTCCGGCTTGGGAGATGCCCAGAACTTTAATTTGCTTCACTAATATTTTTGCCATCTGAAAGGCGGCTTGCTGCTCTAATCCCCAGTCCCACGTATGCCCTCTCATTACCAGGTGGTATAAGGGATGGAGGCACTGTGCCAGATGGGGAATAAAAGTCCTCCAAAACCCCCAAATTCCTACCGAGGCTTGCACCCCTTTCACATTCTTAGGGGTTGGATAGGCTTGTACATTATCAATGACAACTTCTGGGACAACTTGAATCTTACCCAAACGAAGGACGGCCAGAAACTTTACTGAGGTGCCTGGGCCTTGAATTTTTTGTGGATTCACTGCCCATCCTCTCCCTCACAGATGTTCCAGCAAAGCCTGCAGAGTGTCCTGCAACAGGGGCAAGTCTTCACATGTGAACATTATATCATCAATGTAATGGGCCCGTTTTACTGAAGTGGGGAAGGGGAACAGGTGCAGGTCTTGGGCTATAATCCCATGACATGTGGTGGGGCTGTGTAGGCAGCCGTGAGGGAGTCCTTGAAACGTCCAGTACTGCCCCTCTCAACATGAAGGCAAATTGATCTTAGGTATCAGAAACCTATGCTTGTTAAAGTTTTTCCATAAAAGTCCTTGAATGTGAAGCACTTTTGCAGGAACAGTTTTGCAAAACCATCAGAGTACAGCAATGACTGTAAATGAAAAAAGACTTTAAAATGGCCATGGTTAAAGATCTGATGAGAGTTCATTATAATACAGTCGACAAGGGAATTTGATTGTTTTTGTGACATACATTTTAAAAATATAACTAATAACATCATACCAGGACATACCATATTTTTAGGAATTTCATACAAATATAGCCCAAAGAAAGTTTAACATCACTTCTTTTTTTTTTTTAATTAATTTATTATTTATTTATTTTATTTTTGGCTGCTTTGGGTCTTTGTTGCTGAGCGCGAGCTTTCTCTGGTTGTGGCGAGCCGGGGCTACTCTTTGTTGCGGTGCGCAAGCTTCTCACTGTGGTGGCTTCTCTTGTTGCGGGGCACGGGCTCTAGGCTCGCGGGCTTCAGTAGTTGTGGCATGCAGGCTCAGTAGTTGTGGCTCATGGGCTCTAGAGCGCAGGCTCAGTAGTTGTGGTGCACGGGCTTAGTTGCTCCACGGCATGTGGGATCTTCCCGGACCAGGGCTCGAACCTGTGTCCCCTGCATCGGCAGGCAGATTCTTAACCACTGCGCCACCAGGGAAGTCCCTAACATCACTTCTTATTTGACAGTGTTTCCCATATAATTTAATATATCAAATAGGCTAATTAGTTTAATATCTCTCTTTTATAAGGAAAGAGAATTCGTCTTTTGAGATGTTTCAGGGGCCCTCTGGAAAATCCCAAAGTTAGTTCTAGGTCAGCATAACTTTATTTAGAATTAGATTTTGGGGGAGCTTGTCAAAAATACCGAAAGGTTTTAAAACACTAGATTAAATAGGATCTTAGCTCACTGTGAAACAATACTTAGTTATCTATTTAACTTAAGTGACAAAGACTCCAAAGGCAAATACAGAAAGTTACATAATTGTAAAAAAAAACTTAGCTCTTTTAATAGAGAAGATTCAGTTTTCTTAAGTAATTGAAGATGTGATAAAGACAACATGAAGCACAAGAAATTATTTGGATAAAACCACAGAATCTTTTTTCTGGGCAGGTTACTCAAAAGGTAAAGAAAAACCTCTTACAGTCCCATAAGGAACAGACCAATAGTGCAACAAAACTTTGTCCTTTGAGTAGATGAAAGAAAATTGTTTCAGCTTTATATAAGTACACTACTGATATCAAAGCTTATTTTTCTTTAGGCCAACTAAATAGAGCTCTTTTGCAAGTTAATTTTGACAATACTCTCTGGAGATAGAAAAACATCACCTATATATAACAAATCCATAGACATACGAACATACTGACAGACACAAACAGAGAATCCATAGCTTTCTCTCCAGAACTTTAGCCATGAATCAAGTATCCACCCACATGGCTGAAGCCTTTTACTAATATTTGCGGAGAAGATTTTAAAAATTTGGGAATTCCGTGGTGGTCCAGTAGTTAGGACTCCACGCTTCCACTGCAGGGGGAATGGGTTTGATCCCTGATGGGGGAACTAAGATCCCTCAAGCCACGCAGCGTGGCCAAAAAAAAAAAAAATTTGTACTTGCCGTTGATGAATAATCTTAGGGAAACTGTGGACTAGATTTTGTGTGAGGGTGCTCCTATAGCAGTCTGTGTTTTCACCACCGCCCCCCCCTTTTTCTTTGGTCTGTGGGCAGTGTTTTAGTTATTTCCTGTGGTGTTTACATTTCAGAGACATGGTAAGATTATAACTTCAAGGAACAGAGAAGGAATGCAAGTTTTCTCTTAAGATATTTAAAGTTTTTCTTTGTATTAGGGGTTGGACAGCATGGGGCGCTTCATCTGTTTCATTCTCTGTCACCACAACATCCTCCCCTTTGTGCTCCTCACTTGCCCGGGGTTCCTGTCTCCTAGTGTCCTAGTCAGGCGTTGGCACAGCACTTGGACATTGATCTGCAGCAGCTTGTGCTCTCCTAGCTCTGCCACATGACAAGCTAAGATCTCCGATTTATAATCCTGCTCTCTCATCTTGTCTGCCAGCCCCAAAGCTGGCGGAGCAGTGGACACCTGTGCGTTCTTCTCTAACTTCAGCTCTTCTCTAACTTCAACTCAGCAGAGGCCAGCCCACTGTGGTAGCCGTTCATTTTCCTTCTTTGCTGCTCTGTGTAGTTTCTCTAATAAATGCAATAAAGCAGCCGGTGTTCTTGGGGCATCCTTGTTTTCATGTGGTGGTCCGCAAGTATCAAACATACAGGCCACCCTCCCCACATAGAGGTCGATGTTCAGCTTGGGATTTCCCCCAGGGATGCCTCTTTCCCAAGGCCCATTTCTTCAGTCTCCTGGCTGGCTCACAAATTGTTAGTCCACACACTGGCCCCTGTACGGAGAGGACCAGGAGAGACCAAAGAGGTTGAGCACTCCAGGTTGGAAGGTAGCAGTTTTAATAAGTAAGGGAATATACATATGAGGCTTGTCTTGGCTGGCTGCATTGTACCCACCCACCAGAATCTTAAAGTTTATATAGTTTATATAAACTTATATAGTTTAACTGGGTTCAGTCCGGATGGTCTCAACAACACCTTACTCTCTCAAGGCTGTGTCCTTGTAATGGCTCCTACTGTGGGAACAGTGTACAGAGTGTATATTCCAGGGACAGGAAAAGGGTGAGGAGCCTCCGATTGCCTGAGTCCAGATCGAGGGTGAACTGGCAATCATGTCCTCTTGACATGACTTAATAGAAGCTTATTAAATCAAATGAAATAGAAATTATAGGCCCTGCTTTTGGACCCTTCCCCACTCTGGGGTATTAGTTCATAGATGAGGGGACTGAGGAGGAATTAGGTTTTACCAGAGAGTCCTGGAGTTGACGTTGCAGATTTAAACCAGCTTTATGGAGGTAATCCTCTTGAGAAGGATAATGATGTAGGCAGGATATTGTTTGTTGTGTTGTTTCATCCCTCCACCTGTCTATCCCCAGGACCATGGCCAATAGCGAGCGCACCTTCATTGCCATCAAGCCTGATGGAGTCCAGCGCGGCCTTGTGGGAGAGATCATCAAGCGTTTTGAGCAGAAGGGATTCCGCCTTGTTGCCATGAAATTCATGCAGGTAAGTGGACTTCATTCTTGCTATTTCTATTATTTCATAGAAATAGGAGAACATCATAGGTCAGCCTCTCTGTTTCTCCCTTCAGCTCATTTTAGGCGTCTCCATTTAGGGTGAACACAAATGTCCTAAAACCCGGAAACTCCTCGGTGGCATCTCCGCTGAGTCTTGGAGCAAAAAAGTTATTTGCGACTTTCCGAAGTAGCCTCCCTTTCCTCTTGGCAATGCAGGGTTCCACATATTACTGCAGCACTGTGATTTCTGACGCAAAGCCCTGCGCTTGTTTGAGCTCCTGATCATGAGCTTCCTGAGCAGATAATTTTAGAGACCCCCCCTCTCCTCCCCACTGTCCCCACCGTTTGAGGCAGGTTGTTTTTCAGCAAGGAAGTCTTTCTATCATTGTTTAACACCTGCCTACTGTCTAGCATATATTAGGCGCCATCAGGGCATGTAGGGGAAAGTTGTGATTTTGCCCTTGGGGCGGCCCACCTGAAACAGCAGAGGGCAGACACACTTGCAAGATACCTACAAAACAATATTTCAAAAAATGCAAAGGATTGATTGACCAAGAACCCATCTGCAAACAGACCTGGGAAATAAGAATTTAAATTCTCAAAGCAAGTACATTAGGGGATCATCCTTTTTTCCTATTAAGAGTCAACTTTAATGAATGAATCAGAAAAAAAAAGAGTGGGGGGTGGGTCATGCAGCTTGTGGGATCTTAGTTCCCTGACCAGGGATCGAACCTGGGCCCTGGCAGTAAAAGCGCCAAGTTCTAACCACTGGGTCGCCAGGGAATTTTAAATTTAGTTTGATTTGCATTTTAGTTCCTGTGTGATGTTTTAGAAAAACTGCGTTAATATAAAAGGGAGAAGACTGATGTTAATGCTGAGGGGAGAGTGGGACAGAATGATTAGAGCCAGGTATTGGACAAGCAGTGCTTTCCAGAGAGTTTGTATATTAAATTAGGTTGTTTTTTTTTAATGCAACTTTATTGGAGTATAATTGCTTCACAATACCGTGTTAGTTTCTGTTGCACAACAAAGTGAATCAGCCATATGCACACACGTGTCCCCCTATCCCCTCCCTCTTGAGCCTCCCTCCCGCCCTCCCCATCCCACCCCTCTAGGTCATCGCAAAGCACTGAGCCTATCTCCCTGTGCTATGCGGCTGCTTGCCACCAGCCAACTATTTTACATTCGGTAGTGTATACACGTCAATGCTACTCTCTCACTTCGTGCCAGCTTCGCCCTCCCACCCCACGTCCTCAAGTCCGTTCTCTATGTCTGCCTCCTTATTCCTGCCCTGCAACTAGGTTCATCAGTTTTGAAGGTAAAGTGAAATCAAAGTATTGTTGATCGGATATTTACCACGTGCCGGGCACATGTGTTTTTTCATCTAGGTCTCATGACAACCCAGAGAGGTACTTATTCCTTTTCCCGTGGTTGTTAGTGATAGGAAGCTGAGGCTTGGAGAAGTTCAGTAATGTGTGGTTATCCAGTCAGTGATGCAGCTGGGATTTCAACCCAGGTCTCTCTGACCCCCTAAGTGCATACATTTCGTCCTTTACACTGAGTTTCCTCTCAAGGGCACGGACTTGGTGAAGAATGGGAGGAGGGATAGCTGCCATGAGCCTACAGGGTTATTTATTTATTTAAATTTTTTTTCTTTAAAAAAAAAAATTAGATTAAATTAATTAATTAATTAAGGCCTTTATTCTCTGAATAAATATGAAGGGAAATGGCCTGGTTCAGTTTGCGTCTCATCCAATGCTGAGGCCACCTCCCTGTAACACTTTAGCTGAGGCTTGCTTGGGCGTGGAAATTTATTGTATTGTAAGCTTTCCTGTGTGAAATACCATGGCTGGATTCAATTCTAATGTTCTGTAATTTTATGCTGATCAATCAAGGACAGTAGGGGGAAAACTGGTACAAAGCTGGAGCACTTTTAGTCCCTGTCACTTCTTCCCTTTGGTAAAGTCAAGAGTGAATGGGGTTATAATAGAACAAGTGAGCTGAGAGCTCACGTTTTAAACGGCAGGATGGGTAAGTGGGAAACGACTAAACTGCTGGTTCTTAAGATAGTTTGGGGATCAATTCTCTTCTCTATCCTGTGGGATAGGCTTCTGAAGACCTTCTCAAGGAGCACTATATTGACCTGAAGGACCGTCCATTCTTTGCTGGCCTGGTGAAGTACATGCACTCAGGGCCAGTGGTTGCCATGGTGAGTGTAACACGTGTGGGATGTTGATGTGAATGACGCGGCTGGGAGTGAAGAGTGAGTATTGTGATTCTTGCTTCTAATGCCAGGTCCTCATTGTTGAGGAGGATTCTGAGGCTAGGGCATTGGACATTTAGGGTATGAGTCAGCTCTCTGGCTCACCAAAGACAAAATACCTTTGCTTGCTGAACTGAAGACTCACATCTGGGAGAAATCAGGAGAGATATGCCTGATTGTAAGCTCCTGGAGGTGAGGGAGACTGTGTCTTGTTTATTGCAGTGATTCTTCTCTTAGTGTGTATTGGTTGTCATCTTTGTGCCAGGCTCTTTTAGACACTGGGGATACAATCATGAATGAGACAAAATAGGTAACTGTTTTTATAGCTTTCCTTGCCTACGTATCCTGAAAAGGGAGGATGGGCAGATAATAAAGAAACCAAAAAACATATATATATCAGCTAATGATTAGTGATATGCACAGAAATGAAACAGGATTATGTGATAGCAAGTGAGCGCTTTAGACTGGGTGGTCAAGGAACGTGATTTTCAAGCTGAGATCTGGATGAGAAGGAGCCGGCCGTGTACAAATTCACAGTGAAGAGCATTCTCAACCATGAAAATAGCATGTGCAAAGGACCTGGGGTGGGGGGCTTTTTGAGGTACAGAAAGACGCTTGGCCTAACTGAAGCCTGGTGGGTGAAAGGGAAGGTTGGATGAGATTAATTCATAGGCACAGGCAGAGGCCAGATTATGTAGGGCTGTCTCAGCCCTGTACTTCCTGAGTGCTGGGAAGCTATGGGAGGTTTCTACACTTGGTGTTTTAGAAAGGCCACTCTGTGTCAAGAATGGATTGTAGAAAGGCAAGAGGAGGGCAGGGAGACCAATATTCCCAGTGCTGGAACACTTAGATGCCCCATAAGTATTTGTTCAATGAATGAATGTCATTTTAAGGGGGTGCTTTTTCTTTTTCTTTTTTTTTGGAATTAATAGTTTTCAGATTTTCTGCTGAGATTGGTTTCCTTCCTTGACCATATCTTCTTTTGTCCTTGGAGGTCTGGGAGGGGCTGAATGTTGTGAAGACGGGTCGAGTGATGCTTGGGGAGACCAACCCTGTGGACTCCAAGCCTGGGACCATCCGTGGGGACTTCTGCATCCAAGTTGGCAGGTGAGAGTCGGTGCATTTTACTCTTTTCTAAAATCCAAGTGCCACAAGAATTTGGGTTTCTGAAGCTGAGGGTAGACATGATACCATATACAGAGCAATTTGTAATCAGAGTTTATTGTTTTCCTCCTTCTTAATTGGTGTTTGGCTTTGCAGGCCCCCCTGCCTTTGGTCATCAACATCACTATGGTTGTGCCTTTGTTGTGAGAGTAGAACCTGGTACAATGCGCTTTGCTGGCCAGAGTCCTTCCTGAGGCTCCCACTGCTCGCATCAGTGTTGCTAGGAGGGCTGGACGTGGAGAGGGCATTCTTTATCCTTACATTAGTGGCAGTCATGGGTTTTTTCTTTTGACATGGAATAATGTATATGGAGCTTTGGTTTTTTCTGCTCCGGTGGCTGTAGGCTTTCTGGCAATGGGAATGAGGGGAGCTTCTGGGCAGTTTAATCCTTCTGACCTCGGTAACGTGGCCATCTCTTTTCCCATCCAGGAACATTATCCATGGCAGTGATTCTGTGGAGAGTGCAGAGAAGGAGATCGGCTTGTGGTTTCACCCTGAGGAACTGGTGAATTACAAGAGCTGTGCTCAGAACTGGATCTACGAGTGACATGGAAGCAGACCACAGTGCTTGTCCCACCCCACTTCCCCTCCCTCTCATGGGCAGGGGCCAGGTCATAGCAAATCTAGTTATTTCTGAGAACTTGCTTTTCATCCGGAGGGAAACTCTTGGAGCTGCGGATGCTCCCTGTACAGTGTTATGTGCTATCATCAGATTAGAATGTTTCATCTCAAGGAAGGAGTCGTTGAGTAAGGTACTTTGTATTGTTGTATCGCTCTGTATTCTTTTTTCTCTTTCACGTATTCTGGCTAACCGAAGCTAATAGAGAGTGTAAACACTGTATAAATTATATTGGCCTGAGAGATCACACATACACACACATTCTTTGCCTGTCCCTCTCTTCCCCCTGCATTCCATCCACTCTTGGCACTGAGCCGGTCAACAGCTCTCTGTCAGGGATCTGCTGGGTTGCCAAGACTGTCCTGTGCATCGAAGATTCCCTGGAAATAAAAGATACCCTTCCTGCCCTTGAGAAGCTCTCATGGATTCAGTGGCTGGGGGAGTGTGAGAAGTTGTAACTACTCCAAAGCCAAGAAGCTATGTGGATAGTGGGCCTGGATTTCTGGGATGACCTCAAAAGAAGCAGAAGATATCTTGTGAGTAGTTCTGATTAGTTAGGATATTGATTTGGTTGCTTTAATAGAGACAAGATGGAAATTTACTTATCATTTACTTAAAAGTTCAAACTGGAGATCTGATGTAGATCACTGTGACTATAGTTAACAATACTGTACTATATATTTGAAATTTGCTAAGAGGGTAGATCTGTGCTCTCATTGCAAGAAAGAGAGAGAGAGGGAGGGGAAGGGAGGGAAGGAAGGAAGGAAGAGAGAGAAAGAAAGGTAGATAGAAAGAAGGAAAGGAAATGGTAACTGTAGGAAGCCGTTGTTATGTTAATTAGCGTGATTGTATTAGCTTGCAGCTAGATACAGCCACAGGACTAAGCTCTGGCCAAAGAGACACGAAAGAGTGAAGGTGGTAAATTCAAGGTTGTACCCTGAAAAGGAAGGGATAATCATACTTCCCTTCCCAACTTGCTGGAAGGCGGATATAGGGGTGGTAACCATCCTGGATTGGTTGGAGGGAACTGAATCTCTGGACCACCTCAAGGATCAGAGCCTTACCACCATCACCACTTCTATGTACCGCACCTGCTTAGATTTTTTTCCCCCCAGTTTTATTGAGATACAACTGACAAATAAAATTGTAAGATATTTAAAATGTACAACATGATGATTTGCTATAAGTTACATTGTGGAAGGATTTCTCCCATGGGGGGCCACCTTTTGTTTGGGCAGCTGAGGAATAGATGCGTTTCTGTTTCATACAAAGAGTGGGGAGTGAAATAGAGTACCAGGACTTTGGGGGAATGAATATGTGTGTAGCGAGGCAGGAGGGTCATGAAACTGCACAGCTCATCTCAGGACTTAATGGAGCTCAGGTTGTTTATGTCTTGGCACAGAAGGAATTCAGCAAGAGACAAAGTGATAGGTAAGAAGTAGATTTATTAATATAGAGGACACTTGTGAAGGATACAAGTGGGCAGGCAAGAGGGCTTTTCCCTGAGAACTAAGTGGGCTACGTTTTTATAATCAAAGGAAAAGTGGGGAGGGGAGAAGACCACCTTCTTCCTCTTCCTTTGTAAAGATGTTGCAGGAAAATGGGGTGCGAGAGAATGGTCATGTCCCAGGTCTTGGGCGAGCTCCTGGGACAGGCTGCTAAGTGAGGGTACTTGGCTTCGCGCAGGAAAGAATTCAAGAGCAAGCCATAGTGAAGTCAAAGAGGTTGACTGAGAGAGATACACATTCTGTTACTGAACTTGTGTTCGTGTGCCTGGTGCACAGTGAGGCCAGACAATGCCTAAATGTTGGAGTTTGGAGCAGAGCAAGGCTTATTGCAGGGCCATGCAAGGAGACGGGTGGCTCATGCCCCTGAAACCCCCAACTCCCCAAAGGGTTTCAGCAAAGCATTTTTAAAGACCAGGTTGGCGGGGGTGGTGGTGGTGGTGGGGGTGGTGGGGTGGGGTGGTGGGGGGGGGGGGGGGGGGGTGGAGGGTGGGGTAGGGTGGGGTGGGGGAGAGGGTGTGTGTGTCACAGGGTATGTGATCAGCTTGTGTACAGTTCTCTAATTGGTTGATGGTGAAGTAACAGGGTGGTGCCCCAGGGGTTAACATAATCAGTCCTTAGGCTCCAGGAGGCCTGGGGGCTATGTGTTCATGGTCATCAAATAGTTAATATCTTCCATTTGGTGGGGGGTTTTCACATCTGTAAAGTAACTCAGGAAATGTGCATCAGGTACTGTTATCTGGGTACTTCAGAGAGGAGCTAGAGCAGAGGATATGGGGGAAGGGTCTGCCCCAGAAGGCCCCACGGGGTCCTGCTCAGTTACAGTTCCATAGACAGAATGCAGTCTGTGTCAGAAGGCAGAGCAGGCCCGAGGTGCGGGGGTGGTTGGTTTTCATGGGCTGGGTAATTCCACAGGCTAAGGAGTGGGAGGAATATTCTAACCACCTCGGAGAAGGCTCAGGGATTTCCAGGATTTGGGCCACTGCCCACTTTTTGGCCTTTAGGGTTGGCCTTGGAACTGTCACGGTGCCGGTGGGTGTGTCCTTTAAGGCTAATGTAGTACAGTGAGCGTATAATGAGGCGCAGGTTCTACTGGAAGTTGAATCTTCCACCATCTTGGGCCTAGTTGGTTCTAACCGGTTCTTGATGTATCCAGTTTTTCTCAAGGGCTGTGTCATTCTTTAAAGATTGTGCCCTGCCCCCTTGCCTCTTCATTTATACCTTCCGCAGTTAAGGACAGTCTTCCCAGGAAGGAAAGGAGAGGTGAAAGGCAGAGGGCTGCTGTTGGCTGTACCGCAAGGTAGTGACCAGACCAAGGGGCAAACGGCTCTGCGGAGAAATATCCAGTGAAATTCCCACTCTTTCCCACAATTTGCTAACCCTGAAAAGGAAGCCCAAATAAAAGTGTACCGCAGATTGAGGCCCAAGGGAACACTGGGTGTCCTTGCTCCAGAATGAAGGCTGCTAGCTTACTGTTGTTTAGTGCTGTGCAACTAGAAGTTTGGAAAGCCAGCAAGGTATAAGAGAGGCCTGGACTGTCACAGCATCTAACACAGGCTATCGGTGCAGTGCCGGGACCACTAGGGTGATGACACATGACTCCTGTAGCCAGCTCACCGCCCTGAGGAGAGAGACTCAGGGGCTCTGCCCACCTCAGGCTGTAAGCACTGCTGGAGGGGTGGGGGTGGGGGTGAGTGTACACCTACTGAGAGGAGGGGCTTGCTGGCTCCTCCAGGGAAGCTGGGCACCACCAAAGGGTGGCTAGTGGTTTGTCAGGCAGAGAAGAGATAGGGGTTGTCTGCAAATGTATGATAGGCCTGATTTCTATGAGAGAATCTAGAATCTTGTCACGGGTGTGTCTCAGGCTGAACTGAATAACCTGGCCACACAATGATGCTGGGGGCAGAGATCATCATGTCAGGGTGGGAACAGGGCAGCTTAATTGGGCTGGGAAGGTGGGTGGGGAGACAGGCAGGAGGGAGCAGGGTATGGGGTATTTTGTTAAATTAGCCTTGGATGCCATCCTCCAGGCAGGGGGAGTCATCAAAGCAGGGCCGAGGGTCAGATGGTGTTTGAGGAGGGTGCTGAGGGAGGCTCCTTGCGGGGAGAAGTGAGGTGGACGCGCATTGGGAGGCCGCCAGTTCGGATGAGGGAGGTGGAGGGCTTGAAGCAGGGCTCAAGCAGAGGGGAGGGAAGGGGAAACTGGATTTCACAGGTAGGATAAGGACTTGTGCTAGACGGGGAGGAGAGAAAGCAGCTCTGGGTGCTCGGTGAATGGGGAAAAGCAGATTGTACTGGCCGGGGTACTGACTCAAGACCAGTAGAGGTTTGCGTGCGCGCGTGTGAGGAGGTACTGAAGACAGGAGTTGGATTCTACTTCTGGCACATCCAGGTGGGGTAGAAATCACTTCCTGCCCCTGGAGCCCTCGCTGGCTTATTCTGCAAACCCGGGGCGTGGACAGAGTCGTCCGGAAGCGTCCGGCCTCGCGGGTTGGGCGGAGGGCCGTCCTGGGTGTGGCCGCCGCCGGCCCCTCCTCCGCGGGCTCCCTGCGGCGGTGCCGGTAGCTAAGCTCTCGGCTCAGGCCCGCATCGCCGCACGCGCCCGCCCTCTTACCGGTAAGACGGGGGCTCCGATCCCTTCCCGCCCTCGGGCCCCCTCGGTCCCGCAGGCCGGGCGCTCCCCCGGGACCCCTGCCGAGTGTCCTCCGCGGGCACCCGGGAACGGCTGAGGGGCTGCGGCGCGGCGCTGGCAGGGCTGAGGCGTCCCGCAGGCCACGTGTCCCCGCGGTAGCGGCTGGCGGGCGCGGGAGCCACGTGGCCTCCGGCCCGGGGTCCGGGCCCCGGGCCCCCTCGAGGCCTGTGTGGACGCGGCCGCGACGGCCTGACCGCACCTGCCTCCCGCAGGACCATGGCCCACGCGGAGCGCACCTTCATCGCCATCAAGCCCGACGGCGTGCAGCGCGGCCTGGTGGGCGAGATCATCAAGCGCTTCGAGCAGAAGGGATTCCGCCTTGTGGCCATGAAGTTCCTTCAGGTGACGCGCCCCGCTCCCCTCCCCCCGCGGCGGCGAGGTCGCGGGTGGTTTTCCTTACCCGCAGCGTCGATCCGCGTGTCTTTTCCTGGTCGGAGTCCCCCTTGGCCGATTTCGGACCCGCGAATACCCCTTTGCTTTGGGCCTCCAACCCCCGCCCCCCCCACACACCCAGGGCTCCACGGGCCCGCTAGACCCTTGCCCGAGGCCCGGGGGGACAGACGCCCTTGGAAGGTTAAGCGGAGGTGACGTGACTCAGGCTCCAGGGCTGCTTCCTTCCCGCGGCTGCGACGGGCAGTGGGCCGCAGGGGGGCAGCAGGGAGTGGAGGAGGTCTGCGCCCCGGGCCCACGCAGGTCCACCCAGGCACGGAATGGAGGCTGGAATCCTTTTGTGCTTCAGCTTGCAACTGAGATGATTGAGGTCTTAAGTGGGGTGTGCCTTACTCTGCCCTTTCTCTGCAGGCTCCCTTTGGCATAGGGCAGTAACTTTATCTTCCAATTTGGGGTACAGATCTGGACCTTAGGGGATAAGTACCTAAGAACTGAAATTTAAACCAAGCTTTCTCAGTTAACGTCTGAAATGTTTAAAAGGGCATTGGGAATGGGCCAGAGGGTTTGATATGACCTCTGTCTGGCATATTTCCTTTGATTGCAGCCAACACTTAACTCCCTAACCACCTCTTTCTAAGGATTATAACATCCGTCAGGTCATTGACATGAGGGTGTCTTCATGATCAGAACAATCTTTCCGCTAAGATAGCATCAGTTTCATGGTTTGGATGGGTTTTTTTTTTTTAAATACGCACCTTATGAATGTGAGCTAAAATACACACCCAGACTTTTAGAGAACCTACCATGTTACTGGTGGGGGGAGGT